TGACCGACCGAGCCACCCAGGCATCCCCCACATGTGTATTTCTGGCTCCCAAATCACCATCTCCACGTGGATGTCTGGTCTGCCGCTCAGACTTCACCCACTGCACCCAAGCCTTCCCCATCTCAGCTAAGGGCCCTCTGACCTACTGGTTGCTCAGGCTAAACACCCCCCAGCGTCCGTGGCCCCTTTCGTTCTCTCAGGTTCCACAAGTCTTCAGAATGCACCCGGGACCTGGCCACTTCTCACCGCTTCCCCCCTTACCACCTTGGTCCAGGCCACTGCTGTCCCCCCTGGCCAATTGCAGTGGCCTCCTACCTCACCTTCCTGCACCAGCCCTCGCCTCCCTGCATCCTTTTCTTACCTGGGCAGCTCTGGAAGCCACGTCAGATCCTGTCCTTCCTCTGCTTGGAGCCACCCAGAGTAAAGACACGACGTCCTCACCACAGCCTCCAAGCCCTGCGGGATCCATCCCTGCTGACCCCGGTGACCCCACCGCGCACCCCTCCCCTTGTTCACTCTGCTTCTGCCACACCTGTCTTGATGCTGCTGCTTCTTTTTTTAAATGTTTATTTTTGAAAGAGAGAGAGAGCACAAGCAGGGGAGGGCAGAGAGAGAGAGAGAGAGAGGGACACACAGAATCCAAAGCAGGCTCCAGGCTCTGAACTCTGAGCCGTCAGCGCAGAACCCGACACGGGCCGCGAGATCATGACCTGAGCCGAAGTCTGCATTCAACCCACTGAGCCACCCAGGCACCCCTGATGCTTCTTGAACACACCACACAATCCCACCGCTGCTCTTTGGGCCTAGAAAGTTCACACCCCTTCGTGCCCCAGCATCTGTGGGGCATGCTTTCTTCTGTACTCTGTGCGGATCTCTGCTTAAATGTTGCCTCCTCAGAGAGTCCCCCGCCCCCCTTCCCGGCCCCGTGTGTAGATTCGCCCTGTCTTTTTCTGCTGCGGTTTGTTTTCTGATCCACGGCCCTTAGCTCCGCCATACACAGTACACTGTTTTGTTTGAGGCTCATCTCCTTCCTCCAGAAGTTTCATGTGAACTCCGTGGGCACCGGGACCTGTGTGTGCTTTATCTACTGTCGTGTCTAGCACAGAGCTCAGGCACGTAGTAGGTGCCCGGTAAATATTTGCGGAAAGAACGTTTGGAGCCCGAGTGCTTGAGATCCCATCCCAGCCTGTCCACCCCCTAACCATGTGACTCAGGGCCCTTACTTGCCTCTCCGTGACTTAGTTTCCTCCCCTGGGTGGTGGGGTGAAGGTCAGGTGGTGACCCTCGGATGAGCCCTGTCCCTTGGTGCCATCTGCGAGCCGAGAGCTGGGCTTGTCCTTGGGGGCTGGGCGGGAGTTTGTGCCCTCGCCTCATCCCCCGTGTGGCCCGCAGGCCACATTCCACTACCGGACTCTGCACAGCGACGAGGAGGGCACTGTGCTAGACGACAGCCGGGTGCGCGGCAAGCCCATGGAGCTCATCATTGGCAAGAAGTTCAAGCTGCCCGTGTGGGAGACCATCGTGTGCACCATGCGCGAGGGGGAGATCGCCCAGTTCTGCTGCGACGTCAAGGTACCTGACGTCCCGCCCCGGCCCGTAGTGTCTGCGCAGCCATTCCCGAGTCCCCGCGCCGGGGCCCCTGCCCTGGCTAGGCCTCCTTGAACTGCCTCCAGGGCACCATACCAGCAGGACACCGGGGTCCTGGCCTCTTCCGCCTTCTCTTCTTCTTGACAGACTGCAGCCAGGGGATTGCACGTGACCCATGTAACCCCTTCCTTAATCCTCTCTGGCCCCTCGTCACTGCCAGGCTGTAGGGTCCGACCCCTGCCACACTTCCCCGCCCACTCACCTCCCTGCCTTTCCTTTCCATCCCCTTCTTGGCCAAGATCCTCCCTCATCCTTCAGAGTGAATTCCTGTGTTCACTACCCCCAGGAAGCCCTCCTTGACTGCTGGTGGTTGGCTTGAAAACCCCCTCTGGATCCTCTAACCCCTCAGGTCCTACGCGGCCAGGATCGGGCCCCCTACCTGGGTCTGAGCTACAGCAGAGCAGGGATCAGACCTCTTTACCTGTAGTTCAGAATGCTCAGCACCGACACTTAGGACACGTCTGCTGGCTGGATGTGACTCTAGCGGTCTGCCCCCGCTGCAGACAGTAGGGGCCGTGAGCAGAGCTGCTTGCACTGGGGAGGGGGTAGTCTGGTTCCCATCACCCCAAGAGCTGTTCCTAGTGAAAGTCAAAGGCCAGGTGCTCTATGCCGGCAGGTCTCCGCCAAGGGCTTTGCATTGCTACCTTGGGCCCGGCCCTGAGATAGGCCCTGAGTGGGGTGGGGGTGGGGCGGGAGAGACACTGAGGACAGAAGGTAGGAGCCCCCGGTAGTAGTGACAAGTCCAGCCCTTGGGCCGCACCCCTGGGAAGAGGCGTGAATCCCACTGAGCTCCTGAGGGCAGGGGAGACGGGTTCACAGTGAGAGTGGACGTTTGTGTTGGGAGTGGGAGGGCCAGGTGCTTGGCTTGGTTTGGTGGCCAGAGAGTGTGGCAAGAGCTGGGGACTTGGCCAGAAGAGAAGGCTGGGAGGCCAGAGCGTTCCCGAGGGAAAGGCCCTCCTGCATTTCAACGGCGCGGGGCCTGGGCCGGTTGCTGCCCCTCCCTGGGCTTCAGTGTCCTTTCTCAGGTGGCGATGGGGCCAGGGGCCGGGTGACCAGGCGGCCCCTGCTCACAGAGCCCCGGGTGCGCGCTCGCCTTTCTGCAGCACGTGGTCCTGTACCCGCTGGTGGCCAAGAGCTTACGCAACATCGCAGCTGGCAAGGACCCCCTGGAGGGCCAGCGGCACTGCTGTGGGATCGCCCAGATGCACGAGCACAGCTCCCTGGGCCACGCCGACCTGGACGCCCTGCAGCAGAGCCCCCGGCCTCTCATCTTCGACATCGAGATGCTTAAGGTGAGGGGCCACCAGGCCGTGGGTGCCTCCCCAGACCACCCCCGCCCGGCCTCACGGCGGGAACTGGCCCTTCCTGCCTGCCCCAGGGCTGCTGGGCTCAGTGGACGGACCATCAGCGGGGGGGGGGGGGGGGGGGGGGGGGGGTGTTAGGATGAGAAATGAGAACAGCCGGCAGAGCCCCTGGCAGTCCCCATGGGCCTCCCTCCTGGGGCCCCTCTGCCTCTACCCGTCTCTGTGAGGGTGGGGACTGTCCCCTTCTCGTTCACCGTTCTGTCCCTGGAACCGGGCATAGTGCTCGCCAAGTAGGAGGTGCTACCTAAGCGTTTGCCGAAAGGTTCTGCTCCCGGTGCCCAACGTCCGGAGGCCCAGAGGTCTGGTCTGCGGCCGGAGAAGCTGGGGCGCCCCTGGGGCCTCCCCCTGAGTTGGCCCATGCTCTGGCAGGTGGAGAGCCCTGGCACGTACCAGCAGGACCCCTGGGCGATGACGGATGAGGAGAAGGCGAAGGCGGTGCCGCTCATCCACCAGGAGGGCAACCGGCTGTACCGGGAGGGCCGCGTGAAGGAGGCGGCCGCCAAGTACTACGACGCCATCGCCTGCCTCAAAAACCTGCAGATGAAGGTGCCGCCCGGAGGCCGTGGTGGAGGGGCGGTGTGGGGGGGCTGCCCTTGGAGGGGGCCGGCCCTCAGCGTCTTCTGTGCCCTCTCCCTGCCCCCGCGCCCCCCAGGAGCAGCCCGGGTCCCCCGACTGGGTCCAGCTGGATGAGCAGATCACGCCGCTGCTGCTCAACTACTGTCAGTGCAAGCTGGTGGCCCAGGAGTACTACGAGGTGCTGGACCACTGCTCGTCCATCCTCAGCAAGTATGACGGTGAGCGCCGGGCACGGGCCGCACGCCCCAGCCCTTGAGGTCACCTCCCATCCCCCCGCCAAGGCCCCACGACCGCCTGCGTAGACACCCTCCACACAGGCGGGGCTGTGGGCCCTGCTGTGCCAGTGACTTGCGGATGGTGGCGTGTGGCTGGCCCCCTCGGGTCGGGAGGGCTCTGCCCCACGAGGCGCCCACGGTGTCAGAAGGCGGGCAGGGCGGGCAGCTGGCTGGTCCCCCGGCCCTCATGCCTTTGCCTGCCTGCCGCCCGCTGCTACCCCTGCAGACAACGTCAAGGCCTACTTCAAGCGGGGCAAGGCGCACGCGGCCGTGTGGAACGCCCAGGAGGCCCAGGCCGACTTCGCCAAGGTGCTGGAGCTGGACCCCGCGCTGGCGCCCCTCGTGAGCCGCGAGCTTCGGGCCCTGGAGGCGCGGATCCGGCAGAAGGACGAAGAGGACAGGGCTCGCTTCCGGGGTATCTTCTCCCACTGATGGGGCCCCGCACTGCCTGCCCTGCCTCCCCTGCGTGGCCCCCTGCCGCCGCCGCCGCCCCTGCCCCCGCTCCTCCATGCTTCTCTGTATATAAAGTCCGTATTTATCGCTCCCTGGGCCTGCCGGGCTGATCTGTTGGGGGAGCCAGGGTTATCACCTCAGATTTCCTGGTAGTCGGGTGGTCCTGGGAGGCGAAGGATCGGGGTCCTGATCCCCATTCACCAGCTCCAAGACCTCTCTGGGCCTCCATGTCCCCGACAGAGAGGAGGAGAATGATCTCTGTCACAACGAAGTGTTGCTTTCCGGCCAGGGCGGAGGTGCCCGGGAGCCTTCGGTCTTCAGGGGGAGACAGAGGCACGGCCAGGCGGCCAGGGGGGTGTGAGTGAGATGGTCCCCCAGTGCGGCTCTCCCCTCCAACCTCTGGCCCCGTGGTCTTACGTCCCCAGCCTCTGCGCGCGGAGATTTCAGTCAGAAGCCCAGTCTGGGCCCCTGCGGACTGAAAGGCTGGACGAGGTGGGGTGACCTCGGGGAGAAGGGAGGACACGGCCCCCCGTGAGACCTCCAAGGCCCAGCCTCCCTTCCTGGCCTCGCCGCTACCCTACACTTCGACCCTGGTCACATCCTGGCCCCGCTCTACCCTTCAGTGTCCCCGTCAGACTGGAAACTGGACTCGGTTGCCCCCTGGTACGAGACAGGTGGGCAGTCGGGTGGGATGCAGGTGGTTTATTTTCATGGATTCACACACACTGGAAAAGCCTCAGGGCCCTTGCCAACATCCTCCCCCACACCGAGGCTGGGTGCCTCCCACGTGACGGGGAAGTAACACTGAGGGGCAGACAGAGATACAGGGCGTGGGGTTGGGGGGCCAGAGGTCTGGGCCCCCAGCCTCCCACATGTGCCATTTGGGGCCCCTCGAGTGCACGAATAAATCACTTCAGGGCCACCACAGTGCTGGCCTCACTCTTCTTCGCTGTCCAGCTTGAGGCTGATGCTTCGGGGCTTGCCTCGGGCCAGCGTGGTGGGCGGTGTCCCCGGGCTCTCCCGCTCCACCTGACTGGGCCCCCTGGAGCGAAGCAACTGGCTCTGCTTGCGGAGGAAGTCCACGGGGGCAGCCCCCCCATAGCTGCTCTTGGCCAGGGCGGCCCTGGAGGGTCCCGCGGGGGCGTGAGGGTGGGAGCCCGCCTCCAGCTGGCCCAGGTGGGCCACGTAGCCGTCTGACAGGAACTGTGGGCAGAGATGGGTAGGAATGAGGGCACCGGGGGCCTTAGGCCCACACGTAGCCCTCACCTGTCCCCGTTCCCCAGGCTCGTGGGCAGTGCTGGCAGCATTACAGGCCTGGCACAGCCTGACCCGGTGTCTTCTCTCAGCAGATGGGAACCCCAGACTGGGAGCCAGAGCACCCTGGCTTTACTCCTGTCTCTGCCCCTCTCCAGGCTTCGGGTTCCTGGGAGCCTGGCGGGAAGAGCCGCTGACAGTAATCGGTTCCACCCCTGTGCACGCTAAGCGACGATGCTCATGAAAGCTGTGGCGGTTGGTGCCATTTCATAATTTCCGTTCTACAGATAGGAAATTGAGGCTCAGGAAGCTCAAGGTCCATGGCCAGGGCCATGCCAGGGTGGATAGGAACACTCAAGGTCTTGAGCACACTCCCGCCTGTTATCTATCGCTGCCCAGTAGCTCCAAGCTGTTCATGACTCCTGTCCCCGGGGGAGCCCAGTCCCCCGAGGCCAGCTGGCCTTTTTGTAGCGCCCCCCGCCCCATCAGTCGGGTGCTTCTTCACACAGATGGTCTTCATGGCCTCACACCCAGGCTCCACTCCCCCCGCCAGCTCCCAATCCCAGGCTGCACTTGGCTCTCACCTGACACTGAGCTTGCAGCTTCCGCACCGCACGGCCCACAATGTAGGTCTGGCTCGGGGACAGGCCCAGTGCCGCATATACGGCCACGTCTTTGGGGGACCCATAACCGGCCACGATGTTCAGTTCTACCTGTGGTCGGAGAAGCGGGTCAGCCACCCTAGGGGGCAGGGCCGCGTGGCTTGGGTGGGTCGGAAGGGTATCCAGGGTCAGATTGCTTCGGGGCGGGGCTAGCCGGACTGAGGCGGGGCCACGGGGGTCCTAGTCACCAGGCCCCGACCCTAGACGGAGTTGATCCAGAGGACTAGGGGCCTCTCATGGACCACTAGGGGGCCGGGCCCTCGGGGCCTCTCTTGCCAGTTAGGGTCCCGGGCTTAGGGGTGGGACCAGACGGGCCTGCATAAGCCCTACAGCCCCGGGCGGGGGCGGGGGCGGGGCCCTCCCCGGGCGCACCTCCTGCACCAGGCTCTGCAGAAACATCGCCTTCTGGCGCAGTGGGTCGTGGGTGAGGCCATCGCAGAAGGAGACGACGCCGTGAGGAAAGTTGTGCTGCGACAGCCAGGCCACCACGCGGTGCTTCTGCATATCAGGCCGGCCCGTTACGTACACGATCAGGTAGCCGGCGTCCTGCCAGTGCCTGCGGGGTGGGACAGCGGTCAGCTCCGTCTCCGAGGGCGCGGTCGGTCACCGCGGCCAGCCGGGAAGCACCGCTCCTACCTGACCACATCCACCGCGCCGGCGCGCACCTTGGGGTCGCTGCCCATGATGGAGACGCTGGCGGTGAAGGAGCCGTCGATGCTGAAGACCACGGCCTCCGTGCCGCGGGCCACCACGGTCAGGCAGCACTCGGCGTACGTGTGGTCGCCCCTGCGGCCCGCGAACGGCGTGAGCGGCGCGGGTGGAGGCCTGGGGAGCCCCGACCCGCAGAAGCCCGGCCTGCCCGGCGCTCACCTGACCACCATGCGCACCGGGTAGACGCCGATGCCCAGCGCGCGCTCCAGGGGCACCGAGAAAGTGAGGCGGCCGGAGCTGTTGGTGACCTCAGTGCCGAAGTGGATCCACTTGCCTGACAGCGGCTGCGTCATGATGTAGACGTCCACCTGGTGGGGAGAGCGGGCGAGAGGGCCCAGGGGCCGAGCCTGAGTGGAGGAGGGTCTGGGCGGGCTGCCGTGGGGTTAGCGAGGTCCCGGTGGGCGTGAGGTCGGCTCGACGGGGGGGGGGGGGGGGGGGGGGGGGGGGGGGGGGGGGGGGGGGGGGGGGCAAGGCCGCCGCGTCCTGACCTTCTCTCCGGTGAGCGTGACTACGTCCAAGGGCCCGTACATGAAGCGCGCGTTCAGCACCTGGGGGCGGCCCTCGCACACCACCGTGTCGCTTGCCCGGTGGTTGGAAGTGACATTCTGGCGAGAGGAGACGGCGTGAGACCGCGGCGGGGAGACGAGACGGCGGGATTCCGGGAGCAGCTGCTGAGAGGGCCCTGGCCCCGATGGGGGCGGGGCCTCCGCAGGAGGAGCGAGGCCCTTGTGCTGCGCGCTCTTGCGACCCCGACCTGAGGTCACGAGTGCCTGCGTGTGGACTTCGGCCCCCAGGAGTAGGACGGGATGGAGGATGACGCTGGGTGCGGAGAGCTCGGATCCGAGGCCCGCGTTAGCCGTGGAAGGGGGGGAGGTTCCTGGTTCCCAGGGGCGGGGCCGAGCCTCGAGGGGGCGGAGCCAGGGCTACAGAAGCCTGGGAGGCACCCAGGGAGGTCCCGGGAAGGTAGTGGGGGGCGGGGAGGGGCGGGGTGCTGCGGAGAGAGGGCTGGGCCTCTGTCCCCAGAATCTCCAGAGGACCCGAGGGGGCGGGCACATACCCGGATCTTGACTTGCGTGCGTTTGCGCTGCCACTTCTCCCTGGGGAAGGCCGGGCTGTAGATGGACGGCTCCTCGCACTCCGTCAGCTGTGGCTGCTCCTTCTCGATCACCTGTGCACGCGAGGCCACGTGACCGGGGAACCTGGGTCTGGCCCTCCTCTGGCCGGCGGCTCCCCATGCACGTCCAACGCGCATCGCCCACCCTGTATGCCCGATCCCCGAGCCCACCTGGCGCAGGATGAAGGCCACCACATCAGCCGACTCCCAGTAGCTGGCGTGGAAGAGGTGGGGCAGCGTGACGGTGGGGAAGGCGGTGAGCGCCTCGGGGCAGTACAGCGAGTAGTCAATCCGCTTCGTCCCCCACCAGCGCTCCAGGACTGCACGGCCACGTTGGGCAGTGAGTCAGGGGTGGCCTCCCACCTCATGCCCACGTGTCTGGCCCCTGGGTACTCTTTCCTCCCTCCTTTCTGCCAAGCCTGCTCTTTGCCAAGTCCGGGGCCGGGTACTGAGGCGGTCTCGTCCCAGAGCAAATGCTGGGGCCAAGGGTGTTTCAACTGGGCTCTGGGAGGCAGAATAATTGTCCCCTCCCCAGGCTGGGTGGCTGGCTGACTTACTCTTAACCACCTCACTGGTGGTGCTGGGGGCAGCTGGCTGGGCCGGAGGATCAGTGCCTAACTCACTGCCCTTCCAGAAGGCACCGCTGGCAGAGGTGGGTGTTGAGGGCACCAACATCTCCAGCTCTTCCAGAAAGAGGCCTGAGTGGGTCTGCAGAGTGTCAGCTGGGGAATGGGGGGAGGGGCAAGCTGAGCGCTGGTCTGAGCCAGGCTGCCCTCCTGGCTTTCCATGTGGGGGTTCCAGGATAGCCTGGCCCCCACACCTCCATCTTCCCCTCCAGCCCTCCCTGCTCAGGTCTTAGCTGAGGCTGAAGTGCCTCCCATTTGGGTGGAAGTGAAAAGGGGAGGGCTTTCTCTCTTCTTATCTTCCTCCAACAGCCATCCGCATGCCTTCCAGCTTGCCTGCTACCACCACCCCAGCACGGACCCATTTGTCTCATGGGCCAAATGGGAACCCACTTGCATGACTCTGTGGACACGCCGCCTACTAATACATGTTGTCTATGGATGCACCCCTACAGGTGGATACAGCAGCCCCTCTGCGTTGTGGCTATTCTCAGACACTGGCACCCCGGGGCCACTCTGGCTCCTCTCTTTAACCCAGCCATCACCACTGCCCCCCGCCCCTTGGCAGAGAATGTCAGATCTTGGGGATCCAGACCTCACAGAGGGCCAGGGTAGGGCTCCTTGGTCCTGGGACTGGTGACATGAGAGGTGACCAATGATCTAGGAACCTCCTCACATCCTCCTGGGGGAGGGGAGCCGATCCCTGTCCCTCCCTGTTAGTGCCCTCCTCCTTCTCCCCTTTATCTTGGTTGGGGGCGTACCCAGCAGCAGGGATGAGCCGTCTCCCAGGGGGAACTTCTGGTAGCGGGGCACGGCCAGCGGGGCGATAGCTTGGAACTTGGGGGCCAGCAAGGGCTCGAGGCGGGAGGCACAGGGGTCAGCCGCGTGGAAGAGGTTGTAGATCTGCTCACAGGCTGGCCGCATCTGGGCCACTGGTACCCAGAAGATAAAGGAAGGAGGAGGTTCAGCTGGGCATGCTGGAAGGTGGGGGGGGGGGAGCAGCACTTGGCATGCTGGGTGACCTGGAGCCAGCACCCTTCCCGACCTGCATTCCCCGAGAGGTCACCAGCGTCCTGTTAATGGGAGACAGGTGTCTCAGCTAAGAGGTGCTCAGACCCTTTAACTGCTGCTCGGATTCAGGATGAAGCATTTCCTCCTGACTGACTGACCCCAGCTCATGCAGAGCAGCATGTAGGGGCCTGAGTTCCTCCTGGTGCACTTTGGGAAACCTGACCTTGGACATCTCTGGGCCTCAAGTTCCCCTTCTCTAGCCAAGCCATTGAATATGTTCTGTGAGGTATGGTGATAACAGTAGCATCTTGCGTGTGACCAAAGAGACAGGGGAGGAACAGATGAAAGAAAAGGCGTGGCTGCCCCCCCCCCCAAAGGCTCACCCTCCAAGGTGGGCATCACGGTTTTGCGCAAAGCCAGCACCAGGCCCAGTGGGGAGCCAAAGAGGAAGAAGCCGGAGACCTTGAAATCAAGGCGGGCAGCACTGGTGGGGCCATCAGGAGCCTCAGAAGTGGCGGCAGGGGGGCACGAGGCTGTGCTTGCCCGCCTGGGCTCCCCGGAGGAGGTGGTAGAAGGGGCGGCCTGCAGACTGTGGGGGGGAGGGGTGCTCAGTGCTGCCACCCCCACAGCCCAGCACAAGCCCAGGGCACGGGTGATGGGGCAGGAATGTCACCTGTTCTGAGCACCCTCGGGCTCAGGACTGGCCATGTCGCTGGGGGTGCGCTGGGCAGGCAGGGCTGAGGGTTCTGGGCTGGCCCGTCCCAGCCCCTCCACCCCATCTGCCAGGGGGTCCCGCACTGGGCCGACCTCCGGGGAGAGCAGCTCATTGTTCTAGACAGAACAGGGGACAGAAATATCCTTAGGGTTGGAGACGATTCGATTTCTACTTATTTGGAAGTGAGGAGAGAGGCTTGGAGGTTGGGCAGGGACTCAAGAGAAGAACTGGGGCAGAGCCCAAGAGAGGACTGAGTGAGGCGGAAGGGAAGCTGCCTGAAGAGAAGTCATACTGTGGGGGCGGGGGGCAGAGACCGAGAGCTGGAGAGACAGCCCCCCCGGAGGAGGCAGGGTTAGGCCACACTGACCATGCTGCCTCGCCGACTGCTGCTCCGGCTCCCGCTGCCCGCGCTGGCACTGTGGCAGAGTGCGTCAAAGCCCAGGATTCCGCCCACGCCGTCTCCGATCAGCACCACCTGATTGGGGAGAGCGGCGCCCTCAGGAGGACGGACAGACGGCCGGGCGGACGGCGGGCTCTAGCGGCAAGTTTCTCTGGAGCATCCCCAGCCACTGACCTGCCCGCAGAAGCCGGCACCCTCCGATGAGCGCAGGAAGGCAGCATAGGCCTGGTTGGTGCGGGCGATGACAGTGGCCACAGCGCCCTGGTATCGGGACGATGAGGTGGCCAGCAGTGGCAGGGCGGCTAGTGGAATGTGGTCCTGGGAGCGGGACAGGCTGTCACCATCGTGGCTGTAGGGGCTCAGGCTGGAGGAGGAGGTGGGGAGGGTGGGTTGGAGGGCCTCGGGGCCCCTGCACTGCCTCCTCCAAGTCCCCTCGGCCCGTTGGCAAGTCCCAGCTCTGCGGCGCCTTTGCGAGGGGCATCAGCCCCCAAGGGCCTCTGTGATGGAGCCATTGTCTAGAAACTGAAGTCCAGCCCCGTGGGTGACTGGCCCGGGTGTCTGGCTTCCCCGCCCCTCCCCCTTCCCTCTTGGGCCTCTTTGGTCCCCAGAGCCCCCAGTGGCTATCTGCACCTTGAAGACCCTGTGTGTCCCCCACCCTTCCACCCCTGACCAGTACTTGGAGACAAGGGCATAGGCGGCAGCGCAGATGGGTGGGCAGGGCACCAGGCGCAGCGCCACATGGCCCAGGGCCTCGGGGAAGTGGATTCGTGTGACAGCCTCAAAGGCCAGGCTCAGGGTCTGCACGTCCGCCTGCTTGGAGTTGGCATCTCCGGGGCCTGAGTCCAGGATGTTGCCACTGTGCAGGATGAGGAAGAGGGCGTGGACTGCGCACACCTGGGCCCCCAGCTCCCCGGCTCCGTCTGGGCCCTGTGGGGCACAGTAGGGGGCCAGGGGTGTCAGAGAAGTAGCCTGCCTGGTGCGGGGGGGCTGCAGATATGGGGTAGCTGGCCGTACTCACCTCCGAGTCCCTGGGTGCTCGGGCCCCATCCCCAATGTCTTTGGTGGCCTCGGTTCCAGGGTCTATAGGAGAGGGGACAGCCAGTGAAGGTGACTGAGGGGCCTGCGGGGACCCCTCCTCTGGCACTTCGGGGACCCTTGCTTGGCTGTTTGCCTCTTCCTCTGACCCCTCTCACCAGGCTCTCATGGGACATCTCATGTTTCTGGGCCTTTGCACATGTCTGCCCTGCTCCTGTGAGGAACGCCTCCTCCCCACGATGCCTGTCTGCCTGGAAAATGCCTTCTAATCCTGCGCTGTCCAGTATGGTGGCCACTAGCCACATGTCCTCATTTAAATGGGAAGGAATTAAAGCACAATACAAATTTCAGCTCCTCAGTCACACGAGCCACATTTCAAGTGCTTAAAAACCACACGTGGCTAGAGGATTTCCATCATCGCTGAAGTTCTGGGGGACAGGGCTGGCGCAGTCCTTCAAAATCCAGCTTAGATCTCACCTCCCTCGTGAAGCCTTCCTGGACTCCAAATTAATTCCTCCATTTTTTGCGCTCTTAACCACCCATCTGTTATCCCTGCCTATCCGCTCATTATCCACCTGAGTATTCAGTGCACACCCTCTCTGGATTGATGCTCAACTTAGGGCCCCATTAAGCTTAGGACTGGGCTGTTCTGAGTGCCCAGTGCATGCAGGGTGCTGGTGGCTGGCAGTCTTTACCTGGGGTCCCCTCAGCCTCCACGGGGGAGGCAAAGGCATCGATGAAATCACTGGAATTCCACTTGGTCATGTCCTTGGGGAAGACCTCATCACTGTCCGAGAAGCCTTCTGCAAGGACAGGGGACTGTGTCATGGGGCAGAAGGAGCCGCTCAGGGACACCCCCGCCCCCAGCAGGGCCTCGGTGCTGACCGTGGGCATCAAAGAACTCCTCCTCGGAGCTGTTCTCAGAGTCTCGGGCGATGTTCTGCATGCGCCACTCGGACAGGCTCTGGGGAGACACGCCCCCTGCAGGGCCACTCAGTCTCAGCCTGGAGTCCAGCCCGAGGGCAGCTCCCTCCCTTCCCCGTGCCCCAGCCTCACCTCCGTGCTGGGATGAGTAGGAGGAACGGGAAGATGAAGACCACTGCTTGCCGAAACTGGCATCGGGCGAGGCATCGGGGCCGGAGGGCGCCTCGGGCCCATCGGGGGTGCCAGCGTGGCTGGCCGCAGCCCGGGCCTCAACACTAGGCTTCCCAGGGGCCTGGGCTTCGGGCCCCTCACTGCCCGAGTTGCACTTGGCCATGCGCTGTGCCAGCATGCGGGCAGTCTCCTCCTCCAATGCCCGGATGTCAGCCATGCTCAACTCTGTCCATTCATCCTGCCAGCACCAGGCCTGGCGGTGGGCCCGTAGCATCACCCGACGCAGACCTGCAGGTGACGAGGCGACAGAACCATGCCCCTCAGCCTGAGTTTTCCCGCCACTGCTCTCCCCCCCTCCCCCGCAGCCCTTTACAGTGGGTGATGGCTCCCCTGGGCACACCGCCCACCCAGAGCCACGGAGTAGGGCAAGGCTGCTGCTATCCAGTAGCTGGGAGTGGCAACTGGGGCATCTGTCCCCAACTCTGAGCACACACCCAACCCCAACACTCTGGGCAGCTGGGAACAAGCCTGCTTCTTGCTGTCTTTCATCTGGCTTCCTGCTGACGTCTTCAGAGACGTTAACAATCAAGGCATTAACAGTTAATGAAATTGTTGATAGTTAATGAAGGTGTTAATAGTTAATGGAAGTGTTGGCACTTAATGAAGTTTGTAGTGGAAGATGATACCCATTCTGGGATGTTTTCATCTTAAGCAGAGGAATAAAGTTAGAAGCTTCAATATCTAGGAAATAAATTAATAATGGTTGGATTATAATTATAAACTTCTGGAGGGAAATCTATCAGAATCTTACCAACGGGGATATCTGTGGGTGATTTCATTTTCTTATTTGTGCTTTTTGGTATTTTTTACAAATGCAAGACAAGCAGCCTAGATTATTCTCTAGGCTAATCTCATGTGTAAAATGGGAATCGTAGCTCCCACTCGGTAGGGGTGTCAGGGTGTTAGAGGAACTCTTGCATGAGAAGTGATTGGCAGAGGAACTTGCATGTTGTGAATGCTGGTCGATGTTAGCTCTTAATACCTGGCCCAGCCTCCTGCTCATTCACAGAAGGGAAAATGAAGGTGCAGAGATGCGAAGTAGCTCACTGGAGGTCCCGTGGAGCCCAGGCCCCCAGCTCCCCCCCCCCCACTCCATGCAGGGTTCTTCTACCTGCAGGCGGCCCACCCTCAGACCTGGGGGTTGGGGCAGGGCTGAGCTGCAGGGGCTGTGGAGTCAGGGTTAGGAGGGTGAGACCGGAAGCTGGGAGCAGGAGGGACCCCAAGAAGATGAGTCAGAGCCACAGCCTGTACTTCTTAGTGTGTTGCTGGTTAGGGCTGCTGTCCCTTGTGAGAGTTTCTAAGTCTCCCCTGGCCCACAGAACGCTGGAGAATCCTGGAAGCCTAACGGATGGAAAGCAGCATAGCCGGCATGGGCCTCAGGGCTCGTGTCCCCAGCTGCTTGTCCTCCTGACTCTTAACCTGTACCTCAAGGCTAGGCTCCCTGACCCCCAGCCAGGCCGTGCCGTTCCCCTCTGCCTCAGTGCCACCATATCAAGTGGAAATGATGGCTTCTGTGTCCCCAGCCGACAGGGAGCATCCCTGGCTCAAACACGGGGCCTGGTGCATGCTGGGTAAAGGGAGCCGCCTGTGGCAGGGCGCTCACCGACATCATGGATGAACTGCTCGATCTTGGCCTGCATGCCCCAGTAGCGGAACTCGACCTTGCACAGCTTATAGGCACACATGAGGGGCCCTGTCTGGGCCGCTGTGCGAGCCCAGTCGTCAGCCAGCGGTCCCCGGCCGGTCTTGGCCGAGCGGTACAGCCGGGGGTCCTCTTCTGCTTTGTATTCTCCTGGGGCCACCGCATCCCGCACGATGTCGATGGTATCTGGGGGGGGGGGGGTCCAGCGGCACTGAGCAACACCGCCCCCCTCTGCCCCTGCCCCCCTTCCCCACAGCCAGGAAGCCAAGACCAGGAGAGAGCCTGGGGCTTGTCAGAGGCCGCCCACTGAGGTGGCAGATGGCCCCAGAGGGGCTCCAGGGTCCCCTCACTGGCCTCAGGCCTCACCCAGGATGCGCTGTCTCCTCTCCGCTCCACTCAGGTTGAAGACATTCGGCTGCTGCCCCCCATCGGGCAGGTAATACGTCTCTATTTCAATGGAGAATTTCTCCACGAAGGGGCAGGTGTACCTGGGCACGGGGCAGGGGTGAGGGTCACTACTGCGCCCGCCAGGGCTGCTCTCCTTGCAGCCCCAAGCCTGCCCCACCCACTCACCGAGTTCGGGTGTAGGGATAGGCATTCCAGGACTCTTCTTCCACCTGCAGGGCGGCCTTGGGCAGCAGCGCCCGGAACCAGCCTGGGATGTGGGAGCCCACGTGGTACACCTTGTGGGTGTACTGCCCGCTGCCGCCGGGCCCGTCCGTGTAGGGCCGGTTGGCCAGGATCTCCACGCCACTGCCCTCACCGCTCGACTCCTCCCGGCTCTTTTTCTGCACCCAGGGCAGAACAGAATGGGCGGCGCGGCCCCAGCTGAGCTCGCGGGGTCCCCCGGCTTGGCCTGGCCCCCTGCACAGTGCTGGAGCCCTAGTCCCAGCCTTCCGACCTCCCTCAAACTTGACCCTGGCCCCCTGCAGCTCCCTGGGGTCGGGGCCACAGCTGCTGTCCAGTCCTGCACAAGGCTTGCAGCCCAGCACTCGTTTGCGTATTGACTGGTCTATTCCAGGCGTACTGGGATTGTATTAATTGGGACCTATTGATGAATAAAACAAAGACCCCTGGCTCCCTGTGGGACTTCAGTTCTAGTGACACAGTGGCTTCAGAAGCCAAGTGACAGGGTCTATTAGAAGTGGGAAGTGTTGGGGCACCTGGGGGGCTCAGTCGGTTAAACGCCTGACTTCGGCTCAGGTCATGATCTCACGGTTCGTGGGTTCGAGTCCCGCTTCGGGCTCTGTGCTAACAGCTCAGAGCCTGGAGCCTGCTTTGGATTCTGTATTTCCCTCTCTCTCTCTGACCTTCCCCTGCTCACGCTGTCTCTCTCTCTCTCAGAAATAAATACAACATTTAAAAAACAAAATAAAAAAAAAAAAGAACTGGGAAGTGTTATGGGAAGAAGAAAGTGTAGACCCAGGTAAGGGGTATTGGGTTGGGATTACAATTATGACAGGACGATCAGGGAAAGGCTCACTGAACACACAACATGACCATAGTTTGAACACGACTGAAGTGGAGGAGTGCAGATGTGGGGTGGGGGGAGCTGTTCAGGCAGGTTGCTGAGGTGGGGGAGTGGCGTGTGCTCCAGGGGCAGCAAGGAGGCCGGGGAGGGTGGGCTCGAAGAATCAGGGAGATCTTCTGAGAACCTGACCCCAGTCCCCTCCTCTGGGACCCCAATACCGGCTCCTGCCACACCCCTTATAGCTTGAGAGCACTCAGATCCTGCCCCGTTATAGCTCTGGAGCCTGAACTTGGCCCGCTCAACCCCCTGAGGCCCGATCCTGGCCCTCCTGTCTCCTCAGACCCAGACCCTCATTTCTGGGGAACACAGGCCTCGTTGAGGCCTTGCACCAACCCTCCTCTCCCCCTGAAAACCTGTGCGGCCCCTCTCACAGCCCAAGTTCAGACCCCTACCTCTTGGGTCCCTGCCTCTGTCACAGTTTTGGGGTCTGAGCCTCATCCCGTCTCCCTGAGCCCCTGGGGTTGTCAGGATCCTGCACCCTCCGGGGACCGGCTTCCAGTCTTCTCTCCCACCTAGCACCCCTCCTGGCTCCCTGCGCCTCACTCCTGCCTCCTCGGGCGCTCCTCTGCCTCCCACAAGGGGTTAGAATTCTAAGGAGGATTAAAGGAGATCAGAAGTGGGCTGAGCGTCAACCAGCCAGCAGCCGGGCACTTGGGGGATGGGGAGGCGCCACCAGGCCCTTCTGTCCCCTTTCCCCCCTCCCCGCATTGGAAGGGGGGCTTCTCTGTCCTCGCTAGGCTCTGAGTCCTTCCAAGCCCCAGAGCCGGGCTGAGGCGGAGTTGAGCCGGCCCGGCCCCTCGTCCCAGGTGCGGCCTGCGCGCTCCTGCCGTTGAGTGACCCCATCACGAAGTGGGGCCCCCTTCGGCTCCCGCTTCCCACCGCCCTCACCTGGATCATGTAGAGCTGGGCCACCTGGTACTCGTCCAGGCTCATGGGAAGCAGAATGTGGTACTCCTTGATGAGCATCCTGAAGGTGCTCGGCCGGCCGCGCGCGGCCTCCGCTCCGCCTGGCGCAGGGCACGGCGCGGCAGTCAGTGCGGGGCGGCGGCGCGCGGCCCCGAGCCCTGCGCGCGGGCCGGAGGGCGCGGGCCGCGGGACCCCATGCCCGGGCCCGCCGCGGGGGAGGCAGAGGGGGGCCCCGCGAGCCGCAGCGAGGCTGAGCGCTGACCTCTTTTCCGCGCGGCCCCCGTTCCCCCTCCCGCCCGCCCGTCGCCATGGCAACCGCGCGCTGACGCGGGCCCCCCGGAGCGGCGGGCGCGGGCCGGCGGGCTAGCTGGCCGGCCTCGCCTCTCCGGCCGCTGCGGTGTCCTAAGCCCCCTCAGAGCTGCGTCCCTCGGGGACCCGCCCCCGGGAGCCCCGGTCCCCTCCTTCCCGGCCCGCCTTGCACAAGCAGCCCCTCTGGGCCCGCCCCCTGCATCCCCTTTCCGCTGGGCGGTGGGGTCGCGTGCCCCCCCCCCCCACGCCCAGACGTCCACTTGTCCCCCAAGGTGTCTCTCCGCAGAGCAGCTCCGTGCGCCCCTCCCTGCAGCGTCTGTCAGTGTTCCCCACCCCCCTGCACCCGAATCTGCCTTCCAGGACCAGAAAACCAACCCCTCCGGCCGCCCAGACCTGCCTTCCCCAATTCTGCCCCGCAGCCCAGTCCTCGACTTCCCCGCCTCAGCATCCTTCCTGGACCCCCGGCACACGTCCATGCAGCCGCCCCATCATCCTTCCCGGGGCTGACCCCTCTTCGCGCCGAGGCGAGAGTGGCTCCACTGGGTATCCCACGGGCCCCGACCCTGGGAGACCCGCTCCGCCCCCCTGCGCCCCGGTTCCGCTGCAGGCACCCCTCCCACCTCGCAGCCAGCGAGCGGGCGAGAGGCCTCATTGTCCCCACTTCCCTCTGCTCCCCGGCGTCCCCGTCCCCAGCCGCGCTCTTGGCCCGCCCGCCGACGTCCCGGCTCACCTCTAGCCTAGGGCGGGCGCCCCTCACCCGGTGCGGGCGGGGGCGGATGGGCTGCGGGTCGGAGCCCGGAGCACCCCCAGCCCCAGCCTCGGGTTCCAGCCGTGGCCGGACCCTCCGGAGGCGCAGCGCGGGCCCATGGCCCCGACCTTCCTCCGGGTCCTCCCGCCGGCGCCCCTGCTGTCCCTCCCCGCCGCCCGCCGCGTCACCGCGGCCGCCCCGCCCCTTTCCTGGGCCCTGGCTGGCCCTCCCCACTTCTGCGGGGTCCCGGCAGCCCCGCCCGCGGCGGCGGAGGGCGGCCCCAGCCTTCCTTCCCCCAGGCGGCAGGGGAAGAGGCCGCTCTCCAAATGCTGGCGCCTTGTACTCCCTCTGGGCTCTTTGGGGTCCCCTGAACACTTCTATCTCCACCCCGGCCCGACCGTCCTGTGTGCCGTGGACCCAGCCCCATTCTTCCCAGCCCTCGAGCCTCGGGCCCGGGGTCGGGGCAATGCCGCACGGCCCCCAAAGTCTGGCGAGAAGCTGGTCTAAGACTTGCCTGTCCCTAGGGGGTGGGGTTCCAGCGCCCCGGGCCTCTAGCGTCATTGGGCTCTCCACCCCGGCAGAGGGCTGCAGGCACTCGGAAGCCGTGGTCTAGCCCCTGAATGGGGCCCCATGGTCTTCCCCATTGATACCTTCCGGGTCCACAAGTCTGGCCAACCATACCCTGGGCAAAGGCTGAGACACCTAAGGGCTGGGCTCATGGGGCCACACCCAGCAGGCTGGAAGGTGCTGGGACCGTGGAGGGCAGCACCGAGCTGGGACTCACCCGTTGTGGAAGTCAGTCCTCTCCCCTTGGCTCCGCTTCCCAGGGGCTGGGGGGAGGGAAGCGGCCGTGGCCCCTCTCCCTGGAGGAGTCAGGATGTGTTCAGAGCTTCCCATGGCTGATTCGGTTTAAGATGTTAGGGCATTAGGGCATGTGAGGGCCTGGCTTACATGAACTGACATTTCCACGCTGCCAGACATCACTGCCAATCCAGAGAAAGAGGCCTCTAGGCCCAGGCGGAGACAGTGCCCTCCAGCCTGGAGGCTGCCAAGGCCCTGCGCTGCCCCCTGGTGGCACCATGTGTAGGAGGGCAGGGCTCCCAGCTACCAAAGTTCAACCCTTTCCACTACTTACGACTGGGCAGGCTGAGGGCAGGCTGAGGGCCGGAGAAGGGCCGGGTTCCAACCAAAGTCAGCGACAGCAGGGGCCAGGCCAGGCTCGGCTGCTCTCTCTCCCACCACTGCACCCACCCTCTCCCCTCTGTGAGTCCCCTCCTTCCCAATCTCCGCCTGGCTTAGCAGAAATACCAGACTCAGAAAGACTAAGAGATGAGAGAGAACAACTCCAAATTATCTTTTATTTATACAAAAAGGGCATATTTAGCAAAAGACACTGAAAAAAGAGTCGCTATGGCCCAGGAGACAAGGCAGGGAGGTGAGAGGCCCCGGGAGGCCCGGCTACGGGAGGGGTCTGGGAAAAGTGGTGAAAAGTCCTGGGTAAGCGCTGAGTGGTGGGGGCCACAGAAAGGAGAAAGCTCCAGTTGGATCAACACTGTTGGCAGGTCATGGGTGGGACTCACAGTGACCTCGCTGCTAACTCTTGCAAGAGTCCCAGTTAGTGCTGTCGACTGGAGTTGAGAGCTGCCCCCTGGTTCCTGGAGGGCACCCACCAAGGGAGACAGGACAGGAAGCCCAGGCTGGGAAGTGCAACTCAGGGTGAAGGCCAGGGAGAAGCAGGTGCTCTGCAGTGGCCGGGAAAGGTCCAGACTCGGAGGCAGAGTCGCGTCCTGTTACGTGCGGGCGTTCCGCTCTGTCTCTGCCAGGCACTCTCTGACTAGGGCCCGGGCATGGATGATGCCTGAGGTGGGGACGCGCAAGTAACGTAGGGGACCCTCCACAGTCCCGCCCCCACCCCCCGGACAAAGACCCCTCCCCCTCTACGCCCTGTCCGTGAAGGACAAGGGCTATAATCTAATGAGGGGCCTCATGAGATTAGGGACGTGGCTGTTCCTCGTCCTGTTTGCCCTGTTGAAATACAAATGCCCTGGTCCTTCCCCGAAAGCTGACTCAGTTTCAAGTCCGTTCAAAACACCGCTCTGGATAGTGATACCGGCCCCCGTCTAGGCTTGGCCTTCAGACGTCCTTCCCTTCCCAATGGAGGACTGTCTCGAACAGGGAGGGTGGCGGCCTCACTTACCTCTCTTCAGGCGCTCCATGGCGCTCTTGCTGCCGGCATAGGTCGGCCGGATCTCTTTGCCCATTTCCTCTATGACCGACAGCAGGTCCGTGTAGGTGCTCTGGGAGCCCTGGGCGCCCGGTGGCTTCATAGCCTGCGTCAAAAGAGGACAGGGCGATGAACCCGGGCTCCGAGGGGACCTCCAGTCCCCATCCAGAGGCAACCCCTCAGCCCCACTCACCTGCACATAACCCATGGAGGGCGGTCCAAAGTCGTTAAACAGGGGTCTGAAAGGGGCAGCGGCTCCCGGCACCGAGCCCGACGGCGATGGGACACTTCCGGCTGCAACACGCGCGAGTTAAGAGGTCAGCGCGGGGCCAGGACGCCTCCTCCCAGCGTTCCAAGCCCCCGAGCGGAGTCGCCCGATTCCCTCCAAGGGGACGCTTCGCTTCAGGCGCTCAACTTCAGGGACAAACCCCTCCCCCTGCGCTCCACCGACTAGCCCTTACGTGACCACGCCCACTTCACAGGCCAGCAAACTGAGGCTCAGCGAGGGTAGGCGGCAGGCCCAGCGTTGCAGAACTCAGGCCGTCTTCTCGACCACCCGGGCAGGTGAGCAGGGGTAGAGCTGGATCCTCACCTGTGGGGACCGGGGTGCCGGGCCCAGGGGTGCTGGAGCCGGGGGTGCTGCTGGGGGCGGGGGCGATGGGTTTGTAGGACATCCCCAACTCTCGGGTGCGGCGGACGCCGGCCGGCCGCTCCTCCGGGGTTGGCTGCCTGGCCGCTCGGCCGCGCTCTGATTGGTAAACCGGCCGCACGCCCCTGGTAAATAGAGCTCAGGCCGGAAGGGTAGGCGGGCACGAACGCTCTCTCACTCCCTATTGGTGCGCGAAGATGTCACTCGAGCCTCCTCATTGGCCGAGACCGGCCCCAACAGGCCGCAACCGCTGCTGATTGGTCTCCGCCTTTCGGGGCTCGCACCTGTCTGCTCCGGATTGGGCGGTGGCTGACGCCCTACGCAATTGGCGAGTTCGCGGTCCAGGCCGGCGCGCTCTCAATCCGATTAGTCCCAAGGCCCGAGAGGCGGGGCCTCGGAAGCCGGGACCCTGGTCCGGTCCGCCGCGGTTCACGCGGAGGGGTCTTCCCCGCGCGGGCGCCGCCCTAACGCCTCACTCGCGCTGTTTTGCACGTCAGCTTCGCGCTGCCTGGTCTCGGTCCAGCTGGGGCTGTTGTTGCCGCCGCCGCCACCCCCGAGCGCGCCTTTCCACCGCTCTGGGTGCCGGAGGACGCAGGGCTTTGACGTTCGGAGCCCTGCGTCTCACCCCGTGCGCTTTTACGTCACCTTTCACCGGTTCGACACCCTTTTCCCCGGTCTGCGCATGCGCCCTCCTCCCCAAGCCTCCGTGTGTTCCTATGGCAACGGGTCCCTCACCAACGCTACCGCCGCGCCTCGGCTTCTCGTTTGCCTAGTCCTCGGGTCTAGGCTGGGATTAGGTGCGAGGGCAACCTCAGAGCCCCCTCAGCCTGGCCCCCGAGCCCGGTGACTCGTACCGACCGTAGCAGGAACGGCTCACCTCCCTTGACTACTCTACGTCGGGCTCTGTCCCAAACTGATGATGAGAGTATCGACTGGAGTTAAATAAGATGATGGTTCGAACCTCACGCTACCCCCACTAGCGATTTCCTCCTGAGCGTGTTACTCACCTCAGCATGCCTGGGTTTCCCCATCTCTAAGACGCGGACGCTAATAATAACTGTCGTATAGGGTGGTTGTGTGGATAAATGGTCATTCCCCTCTTCTCTATCCATTTCTCTACCCAGACCCCTCCCCCCAAATCTCATTCCTCGTAACCCTAGATCTTAGACTCTCCTCCAAACACAAACCCCTTCTCCCAGGCTACTTTTCCTCTAAACTTTTCTGGCCTTGTATACCCCCTCATGCCCCAGGTCTGTAGATTTTCCTCAGCTCCAGGACATTCATTCATTCATCCATCCATCCATCCATCCATCCATCCATCCATTCATTCAACAGACATTTTTCTGACTCTATCCTCCATGCCAGGCGAGAGACGGACAGGGAAGCGAAGGCACCCAGAACAGAAGGCAATGGGAAGACTGGTATAGTATGCGTTGCAATTTAGAGGTAGGAACCTGCTTGGTGACATCACAGAAGTCTTCCCAGAAGAAGCTGGTGAATGAATAAACTGTGGTATATCCTTATAATGAACTATTATTCAGCAATAAAAGAAAATCATCTATCTAGCTGTGAAAAGATGCGGAGAGGCATATTGCTGAGTGAAAGAAGCCAGTCTGAAAAAGCCATATACTGTGTGATTCCAATTGGACGGCATTCTGAAAAAAAGCAAACTTAGACATAAGGTAAACCAATTACTGGTTGCCAGGGGTGATGAGGTGATGAGTAGAATTAAGTAGCTGAGCAGGGGATGTTTTAAATAGTTGTTTAAAAGTTTATTTATGTATTTTTTATAATGTTCTTTCATATTAAATTTTTAAAAAATGTTTATTTTTGAGAGAGAGAGAGACAGAACACAAGTGGGAGAGGGGCAGAGAGAGAGAGAGGGAGACACAGAACTCAAAGCAGGCTCCAGGCTCTGAGCTGTCAGCACAGAACCCAATATGGGGCTTGAACCCACAAACCGTGAGATCATGACCTGAGCTGAAATCAAGAGTTGGATACTTAACTGAGCCACTAGGCGCCCTGGATTTTTTTTTTTTTTTTTTTTAGGTAGGCTTCACACCCAGTTTGGAGCCCGATGCTGGGTTTGAACTCATGACCCTGAGATCAAGACCAGAGCTGAGATCAATAGTGGGATGCTCTGGGTGCCTGGGTGGCTCAGTCGGTTAAGCATCCGACTTTGGCTCAAGTCGTGATCTTCCAGTTTGTGAGTTCAAGTCCTGCATCAGGCTCTGTGCTGAGAGCTCAGAGTCTGAAGGCTGCTTTGGATTCTGTGTCTCCTCTCTCTGCCCCTCTCCTGCTCATGCTCTGTCTCTCTCTACCTCTCAAAAACAAATAAACAGTAAAAAAAAAAAAAAAATAGTGGGATGCTCAACTGACTGAGCCACCTAGTTGCCCCCTTTTCTTTTTAAGGCCTTGAAACTATTCTGTATGATACCGTAATGGTGGACGCACGATATTAAGCATCCGTCATAAAGAGTAAGCTTTATGCAAACTTTTAAAAATCATTTAGGAGGTCGGGGATCCCAGGATGCAATGAAGAATGTGACAAAGGAATGTAGCTGTTTTACAAACGTACGAGGTGGCCTCACTGAAGGGGTGAGGGGTAAAGTGCTAATCTGGAAATGAGTGTAATCTGTGGCAAGGAAGGCAGAGGAGCTACAAGGGAGCACCGCACTCTAGTGGAAGCTGATTCCCGGTGGGGGGCGGGGGGGGTTGGCAACTCTGAAATCACCGCACACGGGCGCCGGAATTGAAAAGTATGTAAATGAAGATGGACGGTTCCCTATTTCTGGAATGAGAAGTTACTTGTAAGCGAGGGGAGGAGGCTGGCATGGTCCATGTGACGATGGCCCGGCATTGGAGACCTCGATATGAGCTCGTGTTTAGTTCAATATAGATATAGTAAGTTATGTACAGAAATATTTAAAAATTGTGTGTGCACAGGTCAGTGTACATGCATATCTCCTCTATCGGCTGAGAGGGCCTAGAAGCAGTATAGCACCCAAATTTTGGTTTCTTTTTTTCTTTTTTAACTTTTTTTAAAAAAAAATGTTTATTTATTTTTAAAATTTTAATGTTCTATTTATTTCTGAGAGAGAAAAAGACAGCGTGAGCATGGGAGGGTCAGAGAGAGAGGGAGACACAGATTCCTAAACAGGCTCCAGGCTCTGAGCTGTCAGCACAGAGCCCGACGCGGGGCTCGAACCCATGAACTGCGAGATCATGACCTGAGCCGAAGTTGGTCACTTAACCAACTGAGCCACCCAGGCGCCCCATTTTTATGTTTATTTCTGAGGGGGGGGAGGGGCAGAGAGAGAGGGTGACAGAATCTGAAGCTGAGCTGTCGGCACAGACCCCGACTCAGGTTCAGAGGAGCAGTGACTTGCCCCAGGTCAGAGACAGGACAGAAGGCACCAGAACTGAAACTCAGACCTAACCATCCTGCCTCACAGAGTCCTGGTACGCCCAAGTAGGCTAAACCAGGGGCTTTTAAACAAATATAATGTTTTAAACATATATATATATTAACATTTTTTCTTTTTTTCTTTTTTATTTACTTTTAATTTTTTAAATGCTTTTCTATAAAGATGCCATATCCACATCCTTTAAAAAAACTTTTTTTAAAAATGTTTATTTATTTTTGAGAGAGAGAGACAGAGTGTAAGCAGGGGAGAGTGTACAGAGATGTACTCTCGCTTACAGAGTGTAAGTGAGAGGGAGACACAGAATCCGAAGCAGGCTCTAGGCCCTGAGCTGTCAGCACAGAGCCAGATGCAAGGCTCAAACTCATGAACCATGAGATCCTGACCTGGGCCCAAGTCAGATGCCCTACCGACTGAGCCACCCAGGCGCCCTAAAAACTTTTAATGTTTATTTATGTTTGAGTGAGAGAGAGAGAGCACTAGTGGGGGAGAGGCAGAGAGAGAGGGAGACACAGAATCTGAAGCAGGCTCCAGGCTCTGAGCTGTTGGCACAGAGCCTGATGCAGGGCTTGAACTCATGAACCGCGAGGTCATGACCTGAGCCAAAGCCGGATGCTCAACCGACTGAGTCACCCAGGCATCCCAGGAATGGACCATTCTAACATAAGATACATTCTAACATAAGATACTAATAGCGTGTGATGGTTAATGTTAAGTGCCAACGTGCCTGGGTCCCAAATGCTCAGATGTTTGGTCAAACGTGACTTTGGGTGTGACTGCGAGGGTGTCTCTAGATGCAATTAACATCTGCTGAATTGAAGGACTGAGTAAAGCAGATGGCTCTTCCCATGGTGGGTGGGTGGGCCTTATCCAATCAGTTGAAGACCCACATGGAACACAAAGGCTGCATAAGAGGGAACTTGGCCTGCTTGAGTGTTGAGGCAGGACATCTGTCTTCTACCCTCAGACTAGAACTTGCAGCATGAACTCTGATGGTTCTCAGTCCTTCAGGCTCAGACTGGAACTCAATCACCAGTTCCCGGGGCTCTCCCACTTGCTGACTGTCCACTTGGGACTGTGCAGCACCCGTCATCACCTGAGCCAATTCCTTACAATAAATAGCTTCACATGCGTGCGCACACACACACACACACCCCTCCTATTGGGTCTGTTTCTCTGGAGAGCCTTGACTAACACACAGGAGAAGCTGGCTGTGGTGAAGTGTGTACAGGGACACCCCCCTCCCCCCTGCCCCGTACAATCTTGAAGATAATTCTGTAAGCCTCGCACTGTTCTAAATAAAGTAAGTGGATGTAACATCTTGATGTGGGTGATGGTTCCCTGAGTGCACACACACATAAAAGCTCATTGAGCTCATGTAACGTGTGTACACCTTATTGAATGCTGGAGTCCGTAGTCAAACTATTTAAAGTGGATTTAATTGGGGCACCTGGGTGGCTCCATCAGCTGAGTGTCCGACTCTTGACTTTGGCTCAGGTCATGATCCCAGGGTTGTAGGATCGAGCCCCAAATCTGGCTCTGCACTGGGCATGGAGTCTGTTTGGGTTTCTTTCTCTCTCCCTCTCCCCCTCTCCCCTGCTTGTGTGCTTTCTCTCTCTCTCTAATCAAAGAAAGAAGGATAAAGTGGACTTCATGTCAGTAAGCCTGACTTTACAGTTTCTTTTGGAAAACCGGAAGACCTCAGCTCCAGCCCCTCCAACTAGCAGCGGTCCATGGAGTTGGGTGGCAGTTGTCCCCATTAGGCGGAGAAGGGGCTCAAGGCTCAGCAGCATCTCTGCCCTGTTCCCTCCCGGCCCTGGTCCCTCCTCCAGCAGTTACTTTGTCAGAACTTTCTAGGCCAGCAGCTTTTTGGGGGTAGGAAGGCATGTATGAGATTTGGGGGAGCTGTGGGCACTTTGGGGGCCAGCTGATACACGGCAGCCAATTAAAACCCTCCCATCACCATCCCCCCTCCCCCCGCCCGCCCCACCCATAGAGCCTGCCAGGCTGGGAGCCAGGGGGCAGCGGGAGGCAGAGCCCAGCAGGATGCCGGCCTTCCCCTGACACACGTCCAACACCACCCCCAGCCCCCTGCGGAGGGGCCGGGCATCTCAGGCAGTGATGCCACGTGTGCCAGCCGGTGGAGGGTGGGCTGGAGCGCCCAGAGAAGCTCCGGGGCTGGGGTGGCTCCTCATCCCCAGGCCTACCAGACCAGCAGGAGAGATCGCCTAATTGAGTATTAGGGATTAATTGGGATCGGTGGGCCAGTGGTGCTGAGGCCCCGGCCGCCAGCCCCGGCACCTCGGTGTGCGGGCTCTGGGCTGGGCGGGACCCTGGGGTGGCTGCCCAAGGCCATCTTGCTGGCAGCATCGGTGGGGAAGACCAGGCGGGGGCGCTGTTACCTCTACCCTTCTTGACCAAGAGGTCAGGCTGCGGCTCAGCTCTTGGAGCCTGAGACCCTCTTATTGACACCGTGATTTTGGAATCCCAGGGCCTGGGTGTGAGTCCCACCTCTGCTTCGTCCTAACTGTGTGTGACTCTATGCCAGCTCACCCTCCCAGAGCCTTCTGGTGCTAGTCTGGGGGCGGGAGGGGGGCGGTGGGCAGGGCCCGTTCCTGAGCAGGAGTGTGGCAAAACACAAGTAACGCTTTCGGAAGAATAATCTGGCAGCGCGGGCCGCATGGGCTGGGCCGGGAGGGATGGCCGTGGGGCCGTGTGACCTCGGGCCAAGCTGCTTGGCTCAGCCTCTTGGTTTCCTCAGTTTGCAAAATGGGGCTCTGAAGACCACGGGCAGCGCTGGAGTGAGGAGACGTGGCGTTCGGGTCCCCCAGGAAGCAGGCCCTGAGATGAAGTCAGGAGTGTGAGAGAGAGAGAGGGCGAGGAAGCAGGATTGGGCAGGACAGCCTCTGAGCTGAGGCCGACCCGGCCTCCCCTCAGCTACCCCAAAGGGAGCTCGGAGCAGAGACCACCTGGGAGAGGCAGACACGCCATCCTCGCCCCTGCCACACTCGGGGGTTTGGGGCGGGAACCCCGAAGCTGATGTGTATCCGAAGGGGCCAACAGCCAGAGCCTGTCGGTTCACTCACTCCTCCCAGCTGACCTCTGAGCCCCTTCTCCCTCTCAGGGAACATGAGCTTGGCCCTGGCAAAGCCCTCACTCCCTTGCTCTACCCCCTGTCAGCCTGGCCCTGGCAGGAGCCTTTTGCAGGATGAGGGGCCAGGGCTCATCGCAGCTCTGGGAGAAGCAGGTGGCACTTACTCATCTAGGGAAGGTTCCTGACACTTGCGCTGGGAGGGGCCCAGAATCCAGAAAGGGCCTCTGCCCACCTGGAGTTCACGGTCAAGGGGTCTTATAATCCAGGACTGAACTTTTGGGCGGCCAAATACTGGGTCCTCCGGGGTAAACAAGTGAGCGGTAAAAGCCATCCCCAGACTCCAAGATACTTTATTGTCAGAGAGTCCAGGATGGGCAATGGGGTTTGGTGGGGAAGTAGGGGTGCAGGTGAGGGCAGAGCAGGGAGCTGCACACAGGCAGGGTAGGGAGGCGGCGGGAGGGGGTCAGCTGGCAGCAGTGGCTGTGGCCCCAAGTCCTGTCTCCCGCCTCCAGCTTCCGTGCAGGCTCAGCGCGACATCATTCGCACAAACTCTGCCAGGACAAAGCCAAGGTTGCAGGTCTGCAATCTGGACCCAGGAGGGGTGAGACCAATATATTGGCCTTGAGTTGGAAGGGAGTACGGTCCAGGGCAGAGCCCGCAAGGGAGTCTTCTGGATCTGGTAGGGGATAGGCCTTCAGGCTAAGAAGAGGGGTTTGCTTTATGGACACAACAAAACAAAGAAACAACAACAACAACAACAAAAAACCCCAAACCTTGTAACTGAACCTATTTTCCTCTTTGCTTTGGCTGCTAGGAAGCTCAGGAACAACTTTGGGGCCTACTTCGGAGAATTTCTACATACCGATTTTCCTTGGCTTCCTATCATTATTGAACCCTTATTTTCCCCCTGGGGGAATGCAATATAGAGGAAGAACTGGGTTCTGCTCAGCCCGCCTGGCTTCAGATCTTGGCTCCATCCACATCTTTTGCTAAGTACTCCCGCCTTCCTAAGAATTGACTTTCTTGTCCAGCTCTTGGGGAGAGGACACAGAGTACCTGGCACGCGGTAGTGATGCTTCTTTTATCGTTCCCTTAATCTCTTAAAAGCCTCCCAGGGTGTTGGCACTAAGTGTGGAGGGCAGCGGGCAGTACCTTCGAAGTCCACCAGGCCGTCCCCGTTGAGGTCAATGTCATGGAGGATCTCGTCCACCTCCCGCTGGCTGAGGCGCTCCCCGAGCAGGGCCTTGAGAGCTGCCCGCAGCTCCCCCAAGCTGATGCAGCCGTCTCCGTTGGTGTCAAACTGTGGTGGCGTCGGTCAAGGCGTTGAGTCCCCAACCAAACCATGCATTCACGCACAGCCCCCGCTCGCAGCAGCCGACCCGAAGCCCCGGCCCTCCCTCCAGCCCCAGGGGCCGCACCTCCCGAAAGGCGTCCCGTAGCTCCCTGACGCCAATCATGTCTGCGGTCTCTGCCAGCAGCTTGGGGCCCATCAGCTCCACGAAGTCCTCAAAGTCCACCTTTCCGCCACCTGGGGGCCATGCCCGTCAGGGACCCCAGGCGATCAGAGGCCCCTGCACCGCCCTGGCCCTCCTGGCCTGCGTCCCTCTCCCCACTAAATGGGTCCTTCTCTCTCGCTGGGCCCCACAGGCTGGACCATCTGTGCTTTCTGGTGGCTTTTCTTTTCTTGGAGAGTTTGGTTGGGTTTAAGTTCTGGCTCCGGTGACCTGACTCTGGTTCTGTGACCTTAGCCAAGTCACTTAAGCTTTCAGAGACTCAGTTTCCTCATCTAAAAAGTGGGGATAATGGTCCTTGCCCTCCCCACCTTGTAGGGGATGGTGAGATTCTTCAGGGACAGAGAAAGCACCTTGGGAATGACCAGGGTCCCCGGCCCTGGGGGCCACCCTGTGTAGGCACCTCTGTTCCCTGGGCCACCCAGCTGCTCAAGCCATGGCCATGGCCTCTGGAGAACTGGGGTCGGGGCAGGTCTGAGGCACATACTGATTTGCTGTGAAATCTCAATGAGCTCCATCTCGGTGGGCATGTAGCCCAGCGTCCGCATGCAGGCGCCCAGCTCCCGGTAGCCGATGTAGCCGTCCCGGTCTCGGTCAAACTCCTGGAAGGCGACCTGCAGCTCTGCCGGGCAGTGCAGGGTCAGTCGTTCCCACTCGTCCTCCCCCGGACCCCAGCCTGGACCAGCACACCCTTCCTTCTTCCTTTGGTCTAATCATTTCCTCCTTGTGAACATCAGTTTCTCTTTGCTGTCTCAGGAACTTTGCATGTGCTATTTCTTTAATTCATCCTTTCAACCAATATTTAAGGAGCATCTACTATGTGCCAAGCTTTGCTGTAGGTACTGGGGATAAGGTAGGCAAGCAAGCAGGCTGGAATGGAGAGAGAGAGAGAGGCAGGCAGGCAGGCAGGCAGGCAGGAAGGAAGGAAGGAAGGAAACAATCCCTAACCTCATGGAGCTCCTAGGGCTCACATTCTGGAACATTCTTCCCTCCTCTGGCCTTTATGTCACCTACTCAAGAAAGCCTTCCCTCTAAATTCGATCCCCTCCAGCCCATTTGTTCATTTCCTTGCGAGCGCTCAGCACCATTTGTACTTGTTGACTCACTGACATCTGTCGCCAGAGGACAAGAGCTATATCTGTCTAGTTGGCCCCATTCCCCGTGCTGAGCACAGGGCCAGGCCCACGGTGGGCACCCAGGAGGTGTGTGCTGAGTGAATAAACATAAAAGGGAAATGAGACCCACCTGGCGAATGGGGCCTGGGAGCTGACAGCTGGGGGCTCTGTCAGCCCCTCCCTGTTTGATCTTGTCCCCATGTCCGTGATCTCCTTCCTCGTGGAGACCACCGAGGCCCCACCCGGTGCCCCCACCCTGTGTGCCCCACCTATGTCCACCCCTCTGGAGACTAGTCTTTTCCAAAACCCTTTACCTTCAATCTCCTCCGGCCGCAGCTCCCGGTCCTGGGGGGCGGGGGGCACAGAGAGGTTAAGAATTCCCTGGACCACCCTAGCACTGCACCCCTCCTCTTGTTCTTTGGGGCTCCCCACTTGGCACCCCCAACACGCACGGGCAGGGCCTGTGTCATTCGACACCGCTCAGGAAGGGGCCCCTTCCCTGCCCAGACCTCTGCTCACCTCCCGCCCCCACCCTTGTCGAGGTCACAGAGCTCCATTTGCCAGCGGTGATGGCGGGGGGGGGGGCAGAGCCCCAGACTTGGCCCTGGGGACCTCCGTGTGTCGCTCTTGGTCTCTCTTTGTCCCTCTCGGAGGCCCTGCTACCTCCCTGCCCACCCCCTTGGTGGCTGTCTGAGGGTCTCTGGGTCTCTCTCTGTTCCTCTCTTCTCTCTCTCCTGGTGTGTCTCCCTGGGTCTCCCCCCTGCTAGCTCCTGTTTCTGTTTTCTCTGCTCTTCTCTGTCCCCCCCACCCCCTGCCCCAGGAACTGTGTGCCTTTGCTCCAAACACCCCTCTCCGCCCATGCCAGGAGAGGCAGGGGTGAGGCAAAGGCAGGGGCGGCCGTACATACGAGCTGGGTGGCGGCGATGCTGGGCCGCAGGAAGATGCAGGCGGGCCCCACCAGGCTGCTGAGCACCGAGTAACCCTGGGTGCCCGGCCCAGGGGCCCCCTGCTCCTCCGGACCGGGGCCTGGGCTGTGGCGGGAGCCCCCTGGGGGGGAGCTGGGCCACTGCCAGTGGTCCTGCGGCAGAGCCAGCTATGAGCCGGGGCGGTGGCCCCTCCACCCGCCTTCACCAGCCTCTCCCGTCTTTGGAACCTGGCACAGGACGGCGGGGGCCTTCACCCATCAATACTCTAGGCCGGAAGGGTCCACCCCCTTCCTGTTCAACTGGGCAAACGGAGGGCCCCCGAAAAGGCAAGGGACTGGACCAAGGTCACTCAGAAAGCCAGTGGCAGAATGGGAACCTTCAGCTCAAGCTCTGCACCCCCTGTCTCTGACTGGCAGAGAGCAGGAACAGCGCCCAGGGCGGCTGGAGGGGCACCTCGGGGCCTAATGAGCTTGGCGGGAAAGCCCAGTGGTCCTGGGAGCCAAGGCCAGGATGGGCCAGAGTCTGGGGCCTGCCCGGGGAAATCTTGATTGGTCTAGGGTGGTGGGAACCACCCCCCAACCCCCCTGCCGTGCTCCACCTCTAACCCCAGCCCAGTCCTCACGCAGGGCTCTGCCCACCCCCCAGAACCTTCCAGGCTCCAGCCCAGCCCCCTGACCTTGGCCTCTCCCCCTCAGTGGTCCTACCTTAGGCCCCCGATGTCGAGGCCGTTTGGCACAGTTTCCCATGGGCTCCCGAACCATGCCAGGCCTGAGGTCCCGAGGGGCAGCCCAGGGCTGGGCCTCGGCGGATGCTGTGGGCTCCTGCCTGCCCCCAGCTGCTCCCAGTGAGAGTCTGGGAGCGCTGCAGGGGATTTTCCTGGGGTTTTGCGGGGAAGATTGGGAGCGGGTGGGCAGGCGGGGAGCCCTGGGCCCAGGGGCTTGGGTCCTAATCCAGGATTATCTCTGAGCATCCCTGCTGGTGAGGGGGGGCCACTCAGGACCCAAGGGCCCCTGGAAGGCACAGCCTCCCTGCGCTCACTTGGAGGGTCTTCCGGGCCCCTCCTCTCCAGCACTTTCGCCCCCAACCCCTACCCCTAAATCTCCCCCAATCAGGAGAGATTTAATGTCTTCAGAAGCAGGGCCTGGACCCGGCAGGGGGAAACCAGGTGCCCGGTGTGCGAGGGTGGGCTGGGGCACCTCTCCCCTCAGAACGGTGGTATGACCTCTGCAGACCCTGTCCTGAGAGGCGGCCATCTTGGCCCAGTCCCGGAAGTTCCTGCCCCTCCAGGCCAGGACCCTGGCTCTCACCTTAGAGCACCTGGCCACCCTCGGCACCGCTGCCCGGACCAGCCCCCCAACCCTGTACTCAGGTGAAGAGCAGAAGGGGGAGAACTCTGGGTGCTGCGGGCTGGACACGGGTTCAGCGAGGGCAGAGGTGGGGAGAGACGCCAGCCTCCCTCCTGGGCAGCTGACCTTCCAGCAACATCCACGTCCGGGGGCCCCTCCCTGAGCTCTGCCTGGGTCTGCCCCACAGGGTCCCGGGTGGGGTGCGGGATCCCCGCTGCTCCCTCTGGCGCCCTCAGGTGAGGACAGCCCCACACCCTTGTCCCCTTTACCTGCCCATAGGCTGCCTGCACCTGGGCCTTCAGTTCCCGGAGTGCCTGCTGCCTGGCGGCTGCTGGGCTGGGAGGGGCCCGGCTGGGCCCTGGAGAGCCCTCAGAGGGGCTGGGGTCCCCCGCGGGGGGGCTGCCACCTGCCTGGCCCTGGGGAAGGGCCATGGAGATGAGGGCTTGGCGCCTCCTGCTCCCACTCGGGTCGGCCCGCTCCTGTGGGAGGGTGGTTTAGTGGGCGCGGTGCCCACCGGCTCCCTGCTACCCTTCCCCTGCTCCTCTCTCCACAGGCTGGTCAGGCTCTCCCCTGCTGCTCACCCAAATCCTCGCCTCCCCCAACCCGCCCGGCCCCGGCCCCCTGCCGGCCGCAGACGCCCCGGGGCCCCCACTGGGCCGCCCTTGCAGACTTCTAGTCACTTGGCCTCTCTGGCTCATGGTCTCTGCGCCCCCTCGCCCCTCTGTCTCGGCCTTGCTCGCTGCCCCTCTCCGCCCCCGCTCCGTGCCCATCTCTCTGTCTCTCCTGCAGCCCCTGGCCACCCCCTGCGCTCTGCTGACCTCTGCCCGGCTGTCTCTGTGGGTCTCTCTGACCACTCATGCCCGTCTCTCTGCCCCCCTCCCTCCGCTGCATGAGACTCCTTCTCTGTTGGTCCGTCTGTCTTTCTGTCTGTCCATCCTGGCTCTTCCTAATCTCCCTCCCCTCCCCCCTCCCAGGGTGACTCCTGGATTCTGGAGAGACAGCCCCTCCCCACAGCCTGGCCCTAGACATACCCCCTTCTCCCCACCCAGAGCCCCACAGTCGCTCTGAGGCTCCCCACCTCCGGCCAGCACCTCTCACCTACCTTCTGCTGACCTCCGGCCTCTTGCTCGTCAGGGAGAAAGGCGGGGCGGGGCCAGGCAGCTCCCACTGGCCTCTTGTGCCCCCTTGTTATGCCCCTGGCCCTCCGACTGACCAGCCGCCTGCGTCTCACCTCCCAGAATGAGGTCAGTTGTCCTGCCCCGGCCCCGCTCCAGGCCCCTCATGATTTATTCACCTGCCCCCCGCACCAGCCTTTGTCTGAGGGAAACAGATCCCGCAGACACCTGCCACCCGAGCCGGTGGCTCCGGCCTCCCGCAGCCACACGAGTGGCCACCCATCTGAGGCTGGGACTGGGTCTCAGGCCAGCCGCTGGGGCTACACGGACGGACCATGTCTATCCCGAGGCACATCTGACTCAGGAAAGGGCCCCAGACAGTCTAAGTACTTGGGAACGCTGGTCCAGGCATCAGGGGGGCTTCATGGAGGAGACGGGAGGACGGGGACGCCTTTTAGGCATTGCCCGCCCATGTGTGTAACCTGTGCTCAGCCCTGGGTGAGCACTGGGACCTGGCGGGGATCAGCTGTGGATGTGGAGGGTCCCGGCGCTGGGGTCCAACGGAGTATGTTAGGTGGAGGCCCTCGGGGGGAGGCAGGGGTCAGGGGTCAGGCCCTGGAGGGGGTATGACGGCCAGAGGCTGGAGAAAATTCCAGAGGGGCGGCATCTTCAACAAGTGTTTGTGGCACCTGCTACGCGCCTTCCCGGATGCTGGGGGCCCTTCCCCAGTGGCTGGTGGGAGATGTGCATTCAGCAGACCCAGAACGACTGTGGAGGAGAACAGCCTGTCAAGAGCGAGGAGAATGGGGACCTTGCTGTGACTGGGGGGCCGAGGAAGTGGCGTGTGAGCCAGGACCAGAGAGACGATGGGAGTGACCACGTGAAGGGAGGGGTGGCCAGCAGGCAGAGGGAACGGCCCCCACGCAGCCCTGGGCAGGGCTGAGCACTTGAGGAAAGGTCAGCATCCAGAGGTGAGTGGACGCCAACCAGATGGTCAAGGGTGGGAAGGGCTCCTTGTGACCGTTCAAGTTGACCACTTGAAGTTTCAGCCTTCAGCAGCCTCCAGCCCTCTGTACTTGGGGCCTCACCTCCTGGAGGCCAGGGGTGTACTACATCCCAGACAGCCTATGGCAAACAACCTTCAGATATAGGAATTCTGCCATTTTCTTCAAGGTCTTAGAAAAGGCCTGCAGGCCTGGATTTCCCCATGTACTCACTGTATGACCCTTGGCAAGGTATTTCACCTCTCCGAACCTCAGTTTCCTTATCTGGAAAATAGGGGTTGACCTAGGCCTCGTGGTGCCTTTGTGAAAATTAAATGGAGGGCCTAGAAGTTTCCTGGCACTTAGGAAGGACTTGACAAATGGTGGATGCCATGTATGATGAGTGACTCTGGGCCCACATGACCATCTAAGGTGGGAAGTGGTTAGAAATGTGTGTCCCAAAGTTTGAGCCAAGGTAGTAGGGGCGCTGACTGGTCAGAGTCTCATGGATAAAAGTGTTTTCTTTTTTTTTAATTTTTTTTTATAGTTTATTTTTTTAATTTTTGGGACAGAGAGAGACAGAGCGTGAGCAGGAGAGGGGCAGAGGGAGAGGGAGACACAGAATCTGAAACAGGCTCCAGGCTCTGAGCTGCCAACACAGAACCCGATGCGGGGCTCGAACTCACGAACCACGAGATCATGACCTGAGCCGAAGTCAGACGCTTAACCGACTGAGCCACCCAGATGCCCCAGAAGTATTTTCAATCATGAAACGAAGACTTTGTGTCCGGGTAGGGGAAGCCTGGCTTGGAAATACTTCCTCACTTGTGTTCAATGAACATCAAACATGATAGGGTATTCATCTTGATGCCCTTGACTTGCCCAGCCCAATTTAGCCAAGTTGGAGCTCCAGCTCCAGTGTCTAGGATGGCCAGGTGGATCAGTGGTTGACAGATGGATGGATGGGTGGATGGACTGACAGATAGGAAGCTGATTGAATGGAAGGATGTGTAAATAGGCTAATAATTAGTTGATAGGTGGATGGATGGAAGATTGCACCGATAGATAGTTGAGTGAATGGATAGATGGATGGATAGACAGGTAGAGGATGACTGGGGGTGGTATATGGGTGGTTTGGTGGATGGGTGGATATATAGAGAGGTGGATGTTTTGATGGACCACTGGCCAAATGTTTGGTTGTTGGATGGGTGGATGATTGGGTAGATGGGCATATAGATGGACAGACAGAGAGATGGATGAAGGTGGATGGGTGGATGGGTGGACAGGCGGCTGCTGAAGGCCTTATATTCTTCTTCTTTTTTTTTTTAATGTTTTTTTAATGTTTTTAATTAATTTCTAGGAGAGAGAGAGAGAGACAGCGTGAGCAGGGGAGGGTCAGAGAAAGAGGGAGTCACAGACTGAAACAGGCTCCAGGCTCAAAGCTGGCAGACAGCACAAAGCCCGAAGCGGGGCTCAAACCCACGAACCGAGAGATCATGACCAAAGCGAAAGTCGGACGCTTAACCGACTAAGCCACCCGGGCGCCCCTGAAGGCCTTATATTCTTCTGAAAGAGAGTCCATTAGAGTGGAGACCATCTCTTACCTAGTTTGGCCTTTTGCCATGATGTCTAGCCCATTCGTGGCCTGATCCATATTCATCAGTGTGCGAATGAAGCCTCGCATCTGTTTCCTCTACTCTGAGCTGTGATTCTTCTGAGGGCAAAGATGATGGCTCCCTCTCCGCCCTTTCCCCACCAGCCAGCCCAAGCTTGGCACACATACCCATGCCAAGGTCCTACTTCGCATCACCGGAATAACAAGAGTGGAAAAGACAGACTGTAATGGTGCCGGCGAAGATGTGGCAAAGACCGTCACATGCTGCTGCTGGGTTTGTCAAACGATGCAGCCTCTTTGGTTAAGAATTTGGCAGTTCCTCAAAATGAGCTACCATGTGACCTAGCAAGTCCACCCCTAGGTATGGCCCCAAGGGAATTGAAAGCGTAAGTTCACACCAAAAATTTTCTCATAAATGTTCACAGCAGCAAGATTCATAAAAGCCAAAAAGCGAAACAACCCAAACGTCCCTCAGTGTAGAAATGGGGAGACAAAACGTGTATATCCATGTAATAGAATATTACTCAGCCGTGGAAACAGGCGATGTACTGATACACACTGAAGGGTTTCTTTTTGGGGGGATGTAAATGTTCTGGAATTATATCACACTGACTATACTAAAGCCATACAGAATGTACACTTTATAAGGGTGAAATTTAAGTAGCAATAAAGCTGTTTATTTATATTTAAAAAACTGCCAAAGACACGGGGCGCCTGGGTGGCTCAGCCGGTTGAGTGTCTGACTTCGGCTCAGGTCATCTCATGGCTTGTGAGTTCGAGCCTTGCATCGGGCTCTGTGCTGACAGCTCGGAGCCTGGAGCCTGCTTCGGATTCTGTGTCCCTCTCTCACTCTGCCCCTCCCCTGCTCATGCTCCGTCTCTTTCTCTCTTGAGAATAAATAAAACATTTAAAAAAAAAAACCTGCTAAAGACAGGTGCTCATAGACACATGGGCTGGAGGTGGGGGTCGGACACGGGGAGGTTCTTGGCACACTGGACTGGGAAAACTGCTTCTGGACCTCAGAGGGGGAAGCCTCAGGCTGGTCACAGAACTAGTCCACGGGCTTTGCCTGTGGAGCCAGAGGACTGTGGGTAAAAGCAGCCAGCTGGAACACCACCGAAGAGAGCCCCATGGACCTAAGGGAGAGCTTGCCCAGGGGACTTGAGCATGATGGCTGGAGGGTGTGAGCCGGCAGGAGGCCGGCCCGCTGGACGGGAAGGGGTCTCCCAGGCCTTTGATTCCCATCCACAAGGGGAGGGCATGCATGCTCCACGCCAGAGCGGGTGCACGGACCCCTGTGAACCTTGATGTCCCCATCGGTATAATGGGAGCAAGCCTCCCTCCCTCTCAGGATGTGGTGGGGATAAAATGAGACCATTTATTCGAAAGCTCTTTGTAAGCTGCTAAGTGCTGGGCAGATGTTCCTCCAGCTGTGAGGCATGGATAGAACCCAGCTCTGGCACCCCTCCCCCACCCCTCCCAGCCCCAGGCTCAGGGATGCTTCTGATTAGGTGCCTTTGGGATTCCCCCGGGCTTTAGATGGGCACTTCACCAGGGCAAGAATCCCTTTCTCTCTCCTTGTGGCTCTGACAGGAAAACCAGGCTGAGCCATCTGCTCCAGCCAAGCTCCGGTTCCGGGGGAAAGACCACCGCACCCGCTGGGACACCCCCTTCCCCCTCCTCCCCAGGAAGGGGCAGCCAGAAGTGGGCTGGGGGTGCCGGATGGAGGCAGGCACTGGACTCCGCCCAGAAGCAAACAGCCCTCTCGGGTCCTTTACATTTCAGGCTGTGTATCTTGCCATCCACCCATGTCCCCAGTCAGTATTTAAAGAATGCACAGCACTTAGACTCGGTCAGAAAATGGTTTGGAGATGACAGGGCTTTGCAGAAGAAAGACCGAGGGTGAAAATGAGGCCCCTGGGGAAAGAAAAAAAAAAGTGAGGCCCCTGAAGCTACCCAGACCTGCGTTTAAATCCTGTTTACTAGCTGTGCGACCTTGAGAAATTGAGAGTCACTTAACCTCTCTGTGCTTCAGCTCCCCGTCTGTAAAATGAGGATCAGAACAATACCAAGTCCTACGGTTACAATTTACAAAAAGTTCTCAGCACAGGGCTCAGCCCCTAAGGGTTTGCTCTAATTATTATCCCA